AAACGCTCGCGCGCGCGCGTACACGCTTCCTTTCCCTCTCTCGTGTAGCACATTGGAACACCAACTGTCTCCTCGTGGTCTCCTGATCGAAGCGTCCCTTTCGATCGTTTGAAGGGCTGGAACGTGGCGTCGTGCTGTCCCACCCCCGACGCTCGAGCGGCGAGGGTGCTCGATTCGAGGGGGCGAACCTATCCCGCGAGAATCGGGATTGTCTGAATTCTAGCGCCGGGAGCGACTCTCTTCGGGCTGGCTCCTCCGCGAGGATTTCGTATGAGATTTCTATTGTTCTCCGGGGTGCGAGGACATTCATTTGAAATTGTGTGCAGATATTATGGTCGACCACGGACGCTCTTGGTGGTTTTGTTTGTACACTTTTTATTTAATCGTTCGCTGCGGAAGGTAAACATTGTAAGCAATTATTTGCTGTGTTGCTTTATCATTGCTGTGTGTAATGCAGTTGATACTGATGGCTGGTTGAGGATGACTTTGTTCGAGATGGACTCGAGGTTGACCCTTTGGCTACGATGGGATTTTTCGTTAACGTATTTCTTAGGAAATATGTTGGAACCATGGAAATGTTGAATTGAGCTAAATTAATCTAATCTGAAATAATCACGTTTATATAGTGTACGATTATTACGTTTGATCTAAGCGAGTTTTGCTGCAATTATTGTCAATAACATTTTATTGACAACAGTACACAGAAACCAAATATTTCAAGGCCTTCAGAAGCCAAGAGTAGCCAAAGGTTAAGGGTGGCTCACCCTGCGAAATCTTCCAATATCAAGTCTCTTTTATCAAATAGAAATTAACAATATCAAGTGAAACTTATCAATTGAAATTTATCAGTATCAAGTCTATTTTATAAAATAGAAATTCTCGTGTAACAATTCTTTCTTCTACCGAATAATGAACGTGGAAACAATGCAGTTGCACAACCGATCGTCAGGGGCGAAACAATTCTTTCTCGCTCGCCGTCAAATTGGGATGATTAAAACGGTGACGGGACGACTCGCTTGGAATTCAATATCACGCGGAGAGCATTAATTCCGCGTTAATTAAAATCTTGTTCGTGGAATGTTTGTCTTGCCCGATTGTAACCCGTCGCCGTAAACACGAGGACTTCGGGCCTCGGGAATATTACCGTTGCACCCTCTGTCACGTCTGTTGACGCAGGTCCTGGGATTCAAGGATACCTACGTGTGGCTTAAGGACCAAGGTTCCGGGCACGAGAAGAGGGCAGGCTTGCGTTCCCCGAAAGCGCTCAACTCGACTACCAAGGTAAATCATTCGACAGCAGAAAAAGTTCTTGCGACTTTCTGGTTTTCAATTGATTGACATCGAATTTCAATCAGTGTATCACTAGTTTAATGAATGAAATTGATAGTAACAGCAAGTTATATCTACACCATTGACAAAAAATAAAATTCTTTTACACGATCGTTCTCTGTGTTTGAACTTCGAACTTTTTTCGGTACTTAATATGATCCTTGACACCAGAAAAAGTTCTTGTGACTTTCTGGTTTTCAATGGATTGACATCGAATTTCAATCAGTATATAACTAGTTTAATGAATGAAATTGACATTAACAGCAAGCTATATCTACGCCATTGACATAAAATAAAATTCTTTTACACAATCGTTCTGTGTTTGAACTTTCAACTTTTTTCGGTACCTAATACGATCCTTGACGCCAGAAACAGTTCTTGCGGCTTTCTGGTTTTCAATGGATTGACGTCGAATTTCAATCAGTATATCACTAGTTTAATGAATAAAATTGACATTAACAGCAAGTTACATCTACACTATTGACATAAAATAAACTTCTTTTATGCTTTCTCTGTGTTTGAACTTCGAACTTTTTTCGGTACCTAATATGATCCTCTGTCCACGGACGAGGCGCGTTTTCCTTTATCCTCTGACGTGCCTCTCTCTGTCGGAAAAGATCATCTGGGCGGATCAACAAAGGACAATCGAGCGACAGAAACGCGGCTACGTGCCCCTAGCCAACCTGGAATCCGAGAGACCTCTGATAAGGGAGAAGAGGCTCGAGATAGATCGCTTGAACGACGTGGAAGAGGATCAAAGTTTCCAGGAATATTTCGCCTACGATCCTGATGACTCTAGGTTGATGTTCAACGACGAACTGTGGAACCAAGAATGGTACCTGGTAATCAAATTTCCGATCACAGTCGTAAATGTCGAAATGGAGAGTTTATAACGTAGAGACACGGTTGTAGAAAGAGGAATCAATGGGGTAGGGGATCAATATTCACTGGAGTTGATGGTAAAAGGATCGAGTGTCGGTTCTGCTTTATCCTGATAAGATAAGGCTGCTTTATCTACTGTTGCAGCAAGACACAAGGTCGAACAAAGCTTTGCCGAAGCTCGACTTGAACGTGCTACCCCTCTATCGACTGGGGGTAACTGGTCGCGGCGTCAGGATCGCCGTTTTGGATGACGGTTTGGAGTACACTCACGATGATCTTCGGAACAACTACGTGAGTCGAGGAAGTTTCACTCTAGCTACCCCTTTCGAATCATAGATGTCGGGGGATGGTATTCGAGGGATGCTATAAATCAACCCCTTAGATTCCATGTAAATATCGAATCAATACTCTCGATGTTTTGTTTGAAATTGATTCAGGATCCAGAGATTAGCTACGACGTGAACGAAGGCGACGACGATCCACTACCTCGATACGAAGTATCAGGTAACGATAAAAACCTGCTTAATTTATTCTTCAATCTACATAACGTTGCATAATATTCTACCGTGCATTGTGACATGTATATTTATGACTAATTAAAGAATGCAGGGGTGAGCTGCAGCTTAGACGCATGAATATTCAGCAGGGAAATTTACTGCACGTTCGGTTATATTATTTATGAATTTCTCTCACTTGTAATTAAGCGTAATGAATTTAAGGAACAGCTCGCATGCATAGTTGCTTCGCGATAGATTCGACCGAAATCAATTTTCAGGGATGAATGGCCACGGGACAAGGTGCGCTGGGGAAATAGCGATGGAGGCCAACAACCGGAAGTGCGGCGTAGGCGTCGCGTTCGAAGCCTCCGTCGGAGGGATCAAGCTCCTCGACGGTTTGGTGAACGATCGCGTGGAGGGGGAGGCTCTCGGGTACAAACCGGAAGCTGTGGACATTTACACAGCCTCTTGGGGGCCTGCGGATGACGGGAGGAGTCTCGAGGCGCCTGGGAGACTCGCCTCAGAAGCTCTCAAACGTGGAATTTCCATCGTGAGTACTATACCTCAACAGTAAAAGATACAACTGCACCAACTCAGAAATTTAACCCCTTGCGTATTTACCTTCGCCATTATGTTCATGTACCATTTTACTATCGACAATTTGGAAGAAAGTGGAAATACTTCGAGTGGAAATTTTATTTGAAGATAATACAATGATAATAGCAAACAGTTGCTTTGATCCGTGGATAATGAATAACATTGATTCTTGTTAACACATTGCGTACCGATAACGAGAAATCTCGTTTTTCTATAAAGACACTTAGCTATGCAACTTCGCTAATTACCACAGCATTGAAGAAAATATAAAATTTAATTCGAATTGATTATCTATTTAAAATATATTACATAACAATATATCTGAGTTGTTCCATGTATAGTGATATAAGTTGACCTCAGTGAAAATTGCCATCCGCACAGTTCAGTTTTCCGAAAATTAGCCGGTACGCAATGTGTTAACACTAGGTTTACGGAACGCGTCAAATTGACGCATATTGGATTTCAGAAATATTATTTCGTAAATGTTTACCGACTTTGATTGATGCGATCACACTGACATGTACCCCAATTACTATCAAATCTCCAGTTTCCACAATCTAAATAAACGAGCATCAATTCTTTTAGGAATAATAGAATAAAGTGTACAATAAATGCCCGTAAACCTACTGTTAAAGAAATCTTCATCACGAGTCTCACTTCTCATTGTACTGCAAGGGGTTAAAAATCGTTTACAATTGAAACCCTAATTTCCAGTCAAACTGAACGCACAAGTTTCTCATTCATTATTCGTGACGCTGCTATTCCTCTAAAAGTACACGTACCGTCTCACGTATCTCTCAACTTTCCAACTAATAAATCGCATGATCGGTAAGCAGGATAATTTCCATTGAAAACGTGAACCGAAGTGAATTACGTTAGCCAGATAATTTCCGGCGAGATTCTGCGTAAGCCGATGTCACCGCAAACGGTTCCGCGATGTTGGCTTAAAATCCCGAGCGTTTACCGTGAAAGATTAAATATGGATGAAGAATAAATCGCGCGCGAGAGGTCGAGGAGCAGCCTCTCCGCATATTAATAACGGCGGGTGCATATTTATCGTGGCCCGATGCGCTCCTTGTCACGCTGAACGCATCCGCGGGAAACATCCGGTGGAAAGTTGATGTTTACAAACACAGACCCGCGGTACGATTATGTTATCGATTGTGCACGCTCGCCATTGTGCAGGGGAGGGGCGGCCGGGGCAGCGTTTACGTGTGGGCTTCCGGAAACGGGGGCTCGAAATCGGACGATTGCGGATGCGACGGATACGTAGGGAGCATTTACACGATCGCCGTTGGCTCCGCGAGCCAGACCGGCAGGTTCCCCTGGTACGGGGAAAGTTGCGCAGCGACGATGGCCACGACGTACAGCAGCGGAGCGTACCACGATCAAATGATAGTGAGTAGAACTAACGGAATTGAAGGTAACATCGAAAATTGGAAAACAGTTTGAAATATTTCAGAATCTTCACCCTTTGCACTCGAAAGCTTTTCAATGGAAATATTCAACACTTTCTGACGAGATGTAGGTCATTCTGTTTAAAACTAATTTAACGATGATTCATAGATAGATTGAGCAACAGAGCTGTTTTATTTAATATTTCACGTAGCATTGCGAACTTTAATTTGAAATATTAAATATTCGACTTGTGTTGTGTCGAATCATGTGACTGAGTCACCTCTCGAGTGCAAAGGGTTAAAGGCACCGGTGATCGACCTCAGTTGACCGTTTTTCAGGGAAACGTGGAGAATAAGGTTTTTGAAAGATGATCTTTTAATGGTGGATATGCTGAAGCATCTAGTACGAAACACTTTTACCTAAATTAAATTGTTTGTCAGGAGAATTAATAATTCGTTTCGTTGGCTGTATTGTAATTTCCTTAAGTGGAACAGCAATTTCTCTAATTATTTTGAAAAGTTCGCTTTGATATATAATGTACGAAGTTGAAACAGAATTTTCACACATAGAGTTTCTATATTTGATGAAGGAAGTTTATTATTATTCATCTAGAAAATATTTCTTAACTGGTCTACTGGTGCTTTACCTTGAATAATCTGCGAGAAATGATCGAGTGTAGCAGAAAGTTATTTGGTTGATTACTGTTATCAATATAATCACTGTAGCAATTGAAATATCATTCAATCTATTGTAAGACAAGAAAGTACTCTCAGTAGATACAATGAAATACAATGAAATCTCCACAAGAAATAATCGATTGAGTGTAGCAGAAACTTAGTAATTTGGTTGATTACTGTTATCAATATAATCACTACAGCAATTGAAATATCATTCAATCTATTGTAAGACAAGAACTATCAGTAGATACTATGAAACGTTGATTCACGTTCCAAACACTAACGGAAGTACAATGAAATCTCAAGACAATTTCAGCAAATGCTTTCGACGCTGCACACGGTAGATACACGATCGTTGAGTTGTAACCAGCGACAATATCGAATTAAAACATCACTTAAGAAGCTACATCGCGCGGGGGATTCCGGCAGACCGCGATCAAACTTCCACATTAGAGAATAAAGCGGTGGGACGGGCGAACAGGACGCGGAATAATTTAACCGATTCCGTTTCCGTGTTTCCAGGCGACAACAGACCTGCGGAACACTTGCACGACGAGGCACACCGGGACCTCGGCGTCCGCTCCATTAGCCGCGGGAATACTCGCGCTGGCTCTTCAAGTAAAGTACGAAGTTCCCCGACTGATTTGTCGAATCCTCTGTCTAGAAACTTTTTCCTCAACGTACATTCAACGGGGTCCCGTACAATCGGAAACTCCGTGGACTCATCCGGCCGGTTCCGACGAATCTGTCCGGCATTAAGGTTCATTACGTAGCTTTTTCTCGGGAAACTCGGGGCCATTTTGTACGGCGGCGAAAAAAGATCGTAAGGAACGAGATCCAGGATCTCCCCGGTCGCCGGCCGGAGTTCCTGTATTCCGTTCTTCGTTCCGAGCACGCCGCTGCCGGAAATACACGGGAAACGCGTTAAGCATAAATCCGAGCTGCACGGAAATCAGCATGGAGATCGTTCGAAAAAGTTATCGCTCCGTTGCCGGTGTTAGAAGAATATTTCAGCGCGATACTCCTACGGTAGATTGCGAAACTTGGTAGGCAACCCCATTACGTCGAAGTTGTTTTAAGTTATTAACGGATGCGTGGCTCGGGCTCGCCGAGTTCTGCTTACGGTCTCGCGCGGTGTTCAGATATGATTACGAGATGTATCTAAAGTGGATCCTGGTAATGAAACGGGGCAAATATTTCCTTCGCGGCTGAGCAGCCGGATTAATCTCGTTGTTGTTCTTAAAGCAAGGATCTGTCGTGGCGGGACGTGCAGCATCTCGTCGTTTGGACCTCCGAGTACAGCCCGCTCAGGTGAGTCTATCGGTCCGATGATCGTTTAACCCTTTACACTCCAGAAGTTTTTCACTGGAAACACTCAATATTTTCTAATACAGATGAGATTTTCTTAGATTGAATTAAGAAATCTCACGTGCATCCAGGAAGAGAACTATCTTGTTTCAATATTTCGTGCATTGATGCATTATACAAAGTTTAATATTAAATATCAAAGTTTACTGTTTTGCTGTGTCGAATCATTTCGTGACTTAGGGGCGCCTCTGGAGTGCAAAGGGTTCACCCTCTACCTGTTTCAACAATTTTTTCTATATTTATTTGTAGCATCACAATTGTACCATTTGAAGGTAACGTTTCAATGACTACTAAATATTCTTGAATAAATAAATAGAGCGTCATGTTACGCTGTAATTGAATGAACCAACGTCGACGTGAATATCACATTAGACAGTGTTGGCATATTAGACGGAGTGTAGCATCAAATACGTGGCTCGTCGAGTGGTTTGGTAATTAGATAACATTGCCATGTAGTTGAGAATTAATTCACTTATCGATCATTTCAATATTTTTATCAATTTTGAGAATTCAGTCGCCAAATGAGAAAGAGTGGAAACCGCGTCGGTGAACGTGTTAAACTTGCGCGAAAGAATCTGGAGCGTCTTGTAAAAGCTTTCCATTATACAAAGTATCCCAGTGATAGCGCGATGGGACTGTCATTCGAACACGGCACGATAAGAGCCTTGATTTATGGACCTCGAACTCGATTAAAGTGATGCGAATTGTTTGGTTGATTTGCAATCGAATGAAATTGGAACAGTTCCCGTATGATCTCGCATGCTTGAAATCGCTTCTAACGGGATCAGTTCGGATGGAACTTTTAAATGCAAGTAAAATTTCCACCGTTGAATTCGTTTATAGCGACGTTGCGTATAAAATTCTGGAAATTATTCATTACGAGCACGAATATGTTATCATTTTCAAGTGAAACTCGCGGAAAACCGTATTAAAGTTGGTTAACGTTCGAACGGTTATTATTCCGGAATTAGTTAACATTTTTTAATAATCTTTCCGTTGTTACCCGCGGGGAAGTTAACTCTTTAAAATGCATTTCGTTTTACCGCGAGACGAACTTCCGCTCCAGATATATCGTCGCTGAAAGAGGATCGTAATTTTTAATGCCTCGCTGTCTCTGCCTCGTTCGCTTCGTTCAATGAGATTACTGGCTACGGACACGTGCGAGCCGATTCAGCAGCTTTTTACTATTTACTATTGCCATTACTATTAGCGTACGCACTACCAAGAATTCGAGCAAGTCAATGAGACCTCCCGCCGGCCACATGCTGCGGAAAATCCATACTTCAAACTCCCATATCTCGGGAACCGTTTGAGATAGCGGCGCGATTCAAAATTCATCGCAAAGTGCACGCTTCCCCTATCTCGGGGCTCCTTCTGGTTTAAAATGGAACGCTCCTGCGACTTGAAACTTTTAGTCCACGTTGATACCATGAAGCAGTGATACGTTCATCGATGGATTCCCATTAACGACGTGTTTCCTAAAACGAACGCGAGAATATTCACGTAAACTATACATTACAACGTTCAAGACACAAGATTTATAATATACAAATCTGAATGTAAAAATTAAGAATTAATAAATCATACCGGAAGTACGATTAACCCCTTGTTCAATGACGAGCGAGACTCGTGATGAAGATTTATAAACTAATTTAACAAGAATCAATGTTCAATATCCACGGATCAAAGCAAACAACTATTTCGCTATTATCAATGTATTATCTTCATATGAAATTTTCACCTGAATTAGAATGGAAAATTTTGTTGTATTTCTTACAAATCGTCGATAGTAGAATATTACAGCTTAGTAACGAAAATAAATAGTACAAGGGGTTAAAGGAGTTATTAACCCTTAGCACTCGAAAATTTCTCACTTGAAATGCTCGATACTTTCTAACTAGATATAGACGAGATTCTTTCAAATGAATTTATTAAGAAATCACATATGAATTAGGGAACTAAAGCTATTTCCTTTCAATATTTCACGTATTGATGCAGTATACAAAGCTTAATGGTGAATACTAAGGTGTATAATTTTGTCATATTTCTTACAAATTGTCGATAGTAAAATATTACAGCTTAGTAACGAAAGTAAATAGTACAAGGGGTTAATATAGAAATCATCTTGAAACTAGTGTAATGTTAGTGTTCATCTTCAATATATACTTTTCACTGAATTCGAGCTTGGACGTTTGGATTTTCCTTTCGAAATATTAGCAACGAATACGACTCCTTGTCGAGTTTCTACAGCTCAATTTAATATTCCTACGTGTACCAAAGTATTCAAATACTTCTCACGCGATTCTAATCATGGGACGCGTCACGTGTTGTCGATATTCAATGGGGGAGGCATCAGTATGGTGGTATAAAGGCGTCCAGTCGTACAATGACCCACTCGATCAAAAGGATCCCATCATACTGTACCGACAAATTGTTTTCTCTGGGAAAGCCTGTCCACCCATTCATCTTGGAGCTTTCCTCGCAAGGAAGGACACGCGAGTCGATCGCATTCTTCTCGCCGAGCGCCGCGGATCGAGCTGAATTAAACCCTCGTGACATTCTTATTCGGTCCGTGGCCGGAAGGGAATGTAGGTCGTGTCGTTTCAACGGCAAGGCAGTAATTGAGCTGAAGCAAACAGGAAGCGAGGATCTTTCTCTGGTAAAAATAATACCTAGTCTTGCTCTCTCAGGTCCAGTCGTAATCCAGGCTCGCAAAGTGCTTTTACCACGTAA